CAAATCCATGTTTTACAATGAAAATTCATTAATTTGGTTCTAAATCAGTAGAAGAGGATTTATTAGTTTTCCCGATGAGCTTTGAAATTATTATTACAATAATTTTTTTAAAAACATTCTGTGATCATTTTTTTTTTGTTCATGTATTTATTATTTTCAATTAACTTGTTTGTTATACACTATGCCACTTTTTTTAGATCAAAATATTTTCTAAAAACTAAATCTTTAAAATGGTGTCATATACTTTGGAGATAAATTTCTTCAGAAAGAGTAATGAGATTCTTCTTAGAGTAATGAGTATATCGTTTTCTTTTATTATTTTTAATTGAATTGATATAGCTTTTTGTGTAAGTTTGGTTATTTGTTTTGTTTTAGTTTTATGAAATGATTAGATTTTAAAAATTTTAAGGTTGTCGTGTGTTAATGAAGGCAAAAGTACATTTTTCTAAGTAAATTACTATTTATTTTAAATATCTCAATTTATCACCATTTAATTGTTCTTAAATTTATTTAATAAAATACATATTTATATGGATGACATGTGCCATTACTCCGTTTAAATTAAAGGAAAAATTTCGAAAAGTGTTAATTATGCAGATTTTTTCTTCTTTCCACTGTTCATAGTAGAACTTAATATATGACAAAATTAAATAAACAGAAGTAAATAAAAATATGGCAGAAACATTTTGACGTATAATAAGATCTAAAATAAATCTAAAGTGGTGAATTTTAAACCAGTAGATTCCCCAAAGACGACATTCCGCCCACTGCCTATTTTTCCTTTGAAAATGAGAAATTTTTCACGTGATATTTATTATTTTAAAATTAATTCAATTGAGAGTAAAATTTTCTTTTTGCTAAAATATATTCGAGGTATATTAATCATAAAAAAATACTGTTATCTTTCAACTGATAATAATAATCGCACGAAGTGTGTATAATTTAATTATCGTACAGACTTGACCTTGATATTACAAAATGTATCTAGGTATTATCTTTATTAACGCTTTGATAACACTCTCGCAAGAATAGTAATGATTAGAAAAAAAAAGATAAGAAACAAAGGCAATTTGCTTTATACACAAATCGATTGTGTTAAATTATCTAAACTAAAAAATAATGTGTAAAGTGTGTTTGTAAATAAAGCAGAAATCAGTTGTGTGGTAGTTATTTAATGTTTTCAAAAAAATTACTACAAAGCTAATAAAAAATGTGTACTATTCCAGACTTAAATACGCAAAATCAAAAAGAATTATTTTTTTCCTCAAAATATAATTAATTTTATGGAAATTTTTAAGAATTCATTATCTTAAAATATAATTTTACTAATCAGAAATGTCTTTAAGATTCATCTCTCGCTGAAATTTTAAAATGTAAGAAACCACTACATCTATATTATCTTAAGGATAGTAGTTAAGATATTTATCAATATTGTTAAAACTGACCTTTTTCAACTGAAGCAATATCTTATTTAGATACATCGAAAAAAGTCTGTTTTAGCATTATTGTTATATGCCATACCAACTCCCGTGTGAAATTTTCAAACGTTCGATTTCAATTTTTTTACAATTTACAGAGTATTGTTGAGAAGGAATTTATTAGTAAGGAAAATGTCTTAATAAATATTTTTTATTGGGAAATTAATATGTAAAAATAATACTTCCAAGTAATAAAAAGAACATAATCGTTTGGGAAATGTTTCTATAAATAATGTAAATGGGGATGCTTTTTACAGTTTCTAGTCTTGCTTACTGAATAAAACAAAAATAATGATTTGTAAATGATATTTGAGTTACAAATTGTTTTACACTATAGTTTGTATATTGCACAGATTGACATTTAATAAATCGTAAGTGGCAAAAAAGAGCATAATTCTTGGATTTAGAGATTCTACAAATAATTCCAATATAATCCCTTTCCTAATTTTCTGTTTTAGTTGAAAAATAAAATAAAAATAGTTATTTTAAAATTTTTTTATGCATTGAAATTTAATTTTAAATTTAGTTAAAAAGTGAGAAACAGTCTTAATTGCGTGGTAAATGGATTTCTTTTAAAAGTTACACTGAATCTAAATACAATTTTATCTTAAATATTTCTTTGACTTTCTAACTTTTGCAAGGCAGGGATGTGCTGAATGCTTAAATATTTACTCATGCGTATGATTTATGGTTTTTATATCGTCCATCATCGTTTTCATAGAATTATTTATCAAAATCTTTTTTTCAAAATAGGGTGTTGCCATATTTATATAAAAAGGTTAAAGGCCTTTTACCGGAAATAAGGAGGCTTTGTCTTGAGATTATATAAAAAAAAAAAAAGAAGAGAAAAATGTTTAACAAATAAAAGCTTTCATAATCTCCTTTTCCAAAGATTTTTACTAATAAAACATCGTTTGTCAATAAAATCGCTTCTAAAACCGGCTTACGATTCAAAATGAGTTTATGCTGTGTTGAATTAATTAGTGCTTAAGAGAGATTTTGATTCAATTTAATTCCTTATAAAACGTAAACAAATAGAATTCTACAAGGCTGTTTTTTGTAAGCTCCGTCGTAACACGAAATGATGGTTTTTTGCGAATAATATACTATTTTTATAACTGCTGTGAGTTAGTAACTAACTCATAACTGTTAGGTCAAGCTTAGCCTATCTAAAACCAGTGCTGTCTACGATTATTTTGAAAATGGCGCAAAACGTCTGTACGGAGAAAAGCCACAGTGTTGTGAAAATAAAAAACGTTTGTGGTCCAACTTTTTAATATTAAGAACTTACTCCAATGCTGCATTACTTTAGTTCATAAAAATTTGCAAAAACGGAGAATAAGGCAGTGACTTTGATCATTTTCATGTGGGTGGAAAAATGCCTCCAAATCAGAAATTCTAGCCTACAGTTCAAAATGGATGGTTTTCAATACTAATTCAGTCACAAATGAATAGGGTCCAAACTGATTGACACGGTCCCAAAAGTTAAAGCTGAAGCAAGAAAAAAAAAAAAAGATGCCAAGACCTAAACTTACCGAGGCTGAAAAAGCCAAACGAAGACGGGTTATTACTATTACACACAAACGGATAAAGAGCGAATGATGACTCTCCGAACCTATTTCATGCAAATACAAGAACTAGGTGTTGATCACCAGTTAGGGATAAAAGCATCCATTTTCAACGTACCCAATAACTTGCACAAGACCGTAGACTGTCTTCCACGCAATATAAATGATATTCATGTAAAATTGAAAAAAAAAAAAAAAACCCTAGCTTTCAAATCATATTTTATTTACGAACTAGTGAATCCGAAACGGGCATATATTGCAGCTTACAATCTCCATCAAGCACCATTGTACCTATCCGAAAATGTTAATATCGATCTCGATTGGCTGTTCAATGATTTTTCAGTCATCGAAAGAATTTACACAGCATATGTCTGAGCTACATTTAAAAATGTCTGCGAAATTGTGTACCGAGCAGTTCAGGATTAACAGTTAAAGATGTCCAGATGAAAACACACACACAATTCTGGAAAACAAATAAAATTTCGTTTCCAAAAAAAAAATTTGACAACAACCATTTTGCAAATGGGTAACCTCTGTGATCGCCTTGCGGCCATCACGATTTTCTTCATTTTGTAGTGAATCGTATTTATTTATTTATTTGAAGTTTTGATATCTTTACTCATGGCTTGAAGTCACCTGGTTGCGTAAAACTGGGCTCTTTTATCGAAGATGTAAGTTTACAGCACAAAATGAAACATTGCTTGTAACGTAATAAAATATATAAAATAAAATATTGCTAATAATATAATATACAATATATAAAATAAAATATTACTTATAATATAATATATAAAATAAAATATTATTTTTTTTGTAACGATTCAATAATGTTATTTAATTAAGTTTTATTTTATTTAAATCGAATCTAAATATTACGAATAAAGTTCTATTCTGTATTTATTCAATTATCAATAGTTATTCTATTTTGCGCTAACTTTTTATATTGAGTTAATTGATTCTAAAAATAGAGCTCGATTCAATCAGATTCTTTGCAAAAAATAAATAAGAGGAAATTTTTTTCGATTGTGTCGCTATTATGACGGCAGATAGTGTTACAGCTTATGTTACTTTCTTTTTGCAATTATGCAATATTATGATTTAATTATGCTTTATTTTTTAAGTCCAACCTAGACAATACGAACACATTTTACCTAAGAATTAGCTGGAATTGCGTTAAGTCTTAAAAAAGAATGTTCTTCATGGATCAGAGATTTTAAAATTATTTCTTTCTGTGAAGAAATAAGTTTTTTAATCGTGTGATATGTAAAAAATGGTAAATTCACTCAATTAGTTTAAAAGTTAGAAAAAGGCAGAAAATCAAAATAACAAAAGGTGCAAACTTCTTACCTCTCGAGTTGTATGTTTAAATCACTACTTACATTTCAAATCTAATTTTATAGATTTTTTTTAAATTGTCAGCTCTAGTTAATTGGTGAGGAAATCTATCGAACCGAATAAGGTTTCTTTGCTTTTTATATTTTCCAACCGAATTCAAAACGGAAAGAAAAATATCTGAAATAATTTCAAAAGTCGAAAGTAAATATACTTACTTTTACTTATTATAACTTACCTTTTGCTTATACGTTATATCAGCTAAATCTCAATAAAAGACAAATCTTACAAAAACGTTGGCACTGATTAAGATCACTTATCTTCCGTGTACCTATGCAATTATGCAATTTAATGTAATGATTTTTTAAAGCAGACTTGGAATAAGGCCAGCTTTCTCATTAACTAAATTTATTTTATGGATTTTTGATAAAAAAAAGATTGCAAACGTTGTGGTTGAATATCGTAAGTTGATTTCCCTTTTAGGATATTTACAATATATTTGGTTTATTGTTAGCGCTCATGTCACTTATAGAAAAGTGCATTATCTAAATTAAATTTACTCTTTTAAATAAATTTAATTTCATTTATCCAATACCGAAACAAGTTTAAGTCCTGTCTAAAACTTCGAGAACAGCAATTAATTGATTTTATATCATGCTCGTTAGAAAAGAGAGCAAGTTCTATTTGTGTTTGTCAAATAGCAATTATGTAAATTAAATTTCTTTTATACCAACATTCCGGTAAAGGAGTTACATACCTCGAAAATTTTCATTTGATGTGCAGCAATATACAATGACGACGCAAAGAAATGTAAGGTTTGCTATTGTACCAAGATTTGATATTTTCACAGTTCCTGATGATAAGAAAGATATCACCCTTGACGATGTTGGTGGATTTGAAAAAGACGTTTTAACTCTGTTGTCAAAATCATTGAACTACCATCTAGATATTCTGATTCCGAACGACCGAGAATGGGGTGCAAAGCTGAAAAATGGCAGTTTTTCCGGTGTAATTGGCATGCTAAATCGAAATGAAGCCGATTTGGCGATGGCGCGTATGGGAATCACGTACAACAGAGCCGAAGTGGCGTGGCCATCAGTTCCTTACGATATTCAAACCATCACGTTTGTGACTAGATTGCAGACAGATTCAGCTCAGAATAAACTGTCTTACCTTTACCCATTTCAATTTCACGTATGGTTAACAATTATGTTAGTAGCTACAATGATGCCTATAGTGTTGCATGCTTTCATGCAGCGGAGATACTCGCTACAAGAACACGTGTTCAACACTGTAAAGCTTTTGTTTCGTCACACTATTGATTATCAAAGAGCCAATTCTCCCGCAGATAGAATGCTCCAATTTTCATTCCTGATTAGTGTTTTCTTGCTATCTCTCAGCTATAGCTCAGTTATTTTATCTGTTCTCACTTTACCGGAAAAGGAATCTGGACTGGTTACTATTTCACAGCTAGCACACGCAATTCAGCAAGGTTCGATGAAAGTAACCGCACCGAAAGGTTCTTTGGTTATAAATCTTTTGCGTGAAAGTACATTCCAAAATGTTCGATACATAGGCGAAGCAATCGAAGAAATCGATTCGTCAATTGCAGCCACGAGAAAAAGCGTGATTGAAGATGGTTGCGCTTATGTAACACCGGATTTTAACATCAAAGTCCTAATGGGGCACGAACTTTTGTTTTCTAAAGAACCTTTTAATTACATGTACGCTATAATATATGCTAACAATGAGTTCTGCTGTAAGGAAGAGCTTAATTACTTTGTTGAACGTATAACTGCTGGAGGAATTTATCAAAAAATATCAAATGACTACTTTTTCTTGTCACAACTTAAAAATATGAAAAACAACTCATTTCACCAAAATGAAAACCACAATAAGAAGTTGACATTATGGCAGCTTTCAGAGGCATTTATGATATTGGGAATAGGGCTGTATGGTTCTATCATAGTTTTTATTTTCGAATGTCTTTTCGATAAGATAGGGAGAAATAAGAGAAGTATAAGAAAACTGTCATATTAAAACTAAATTTTGTGCTTCTTTCCAAATTATATCACGCATTTGCAATAAAGTCTTTTGTAGAAATATTAGCATAAAATATACGAGTCTTCTCTTCACTGTCTTAACTTGTTAATAAATCAGTTTTTTTTAACAAACTTCCTATTGCCTTGTGTCGCGAATATTTCAAATTTCTGGAAAACTTCCTAAATTTTTTTCTTTCAATGTTTTATTTTCAATTGCGTTACTTTGTTCCGCAATTGTCATTAAGTGATAAATGTAAACAGATAAGGAATTAAAATAGGCTTGTTTTGAAGAATAAAAAGTCGAACACCATCTCTAAGTAACGCAATAATTCTCAACTTTGTCTAGCAGTCTTGCTCTTCTTATTTTTATTGCTTCTATCGATTTTATTTTATTTTATTTTATAACCGACGTTGAACAGCAGACCATATTCTGAGTTTACAACTACTAATGTACAACTCCGTAGCCTTGTTTGCGTTACATGGAGAGGAAGATCACGAGAACCTCCCACGGTTAGTCTGACGGCAAAGATACTCTAACCCATGATCCGTCTACCACTGAGGATATTTTATTTTGGTCAGTGCCAGCTTGGAGCAACTTTTATCGATTTTATTACAAATTAATTTTCATCAAAACAAAGTTTGTGTTTACCATCTACATCAGGGGTGTCAAACTCGCGGCTCGCGGGCCACATGCGGCCCGAGATGAACATTTTTGCTGCCCAGTCAATATATCCGACGCAAAGTAAAAATAAAATAGAAATGTGAATTAGAAAGAAAACTAGCATATAAAATATNTTGTTGTTGTTGCTGGCCCACACGGTTAGCGGAGCTAAACCAAGTCCATGACTCCAGAGACTCTGAGTAAGTCTGTAACAAAAAGTGGATCTGAAAAGAGGTCCACTTTAGAGATATTTAGGCATTGAAGTATATGTTCAGGAGTAGCTTGTTGGTCGTTACACTTAGTGCAAACAGGGAAAACTCTTGAACCATTACTGAACAACATAGTTCTTAGGTGACCACTTCGAAATCTTGATATAACCGTCTGATCCCGCCTACTGCACTGAAGGGTCAGGCTGCCACCTGGGCGGTTGCACTGATACCAATGATGAACAGGAGGGGCCACAGGATCACGAAGCCTGTTAAAACGGGAGTGGAGCTCCGAGAAAGTCAGAGATGCCGAAGAATGCAGGGGCAGATCAGTTCCGCTCTTAGCCAAGGCAATCTCATTACCCTCAACATCGACATGAGATGGTATCCATTGCAAGTGTATATTATGGGAGAAAGAAAGGGTCTTCAAAAATTGAAACTCCATCACTGTCACCCACCCCATGCCAATCCGAAAGGTGCTGGATTGAACTCCTACTATCGCTCAAAATCCGGATGTCATTTGATCCAGGAAAAGTAAGCACAGCGCCCAATCCAGCATCTATAGCGATCAGCTCGCTGGTTTTCAAATTATTTCATATATGGGTGATTCTCACGAAATATGACAATTGACAGTCTTTTACTCCAAGACATAATACTGTACTACTAAAAGAACTTTTTTAAAGAAAAAAAAATTACTATTAGCATTTTAAGATAACTTTGCATTAGCATTGACTGTTTTGTATAGTTAAAAAATTTAATTGAATTTCAAAATGTCATTTTCCTGGCGTGTCACAAACACTATTTTCAATAATAACTAGCTCCAAAACTTTTCATAAATTTGTCAATATGTAACTTTTTTTATCTCAACCGTTGTTAAGCATTTCTAGAATACATGTAGAGGGTATCATTTCTACAAACTTTGTTGAAATTTTTTTTTCTGTCAATAATTTGTTTGCCACATGAAAATCAGTCATTTTCCTGGCCATTTTATTTTAGTAATTTATAACCAAAATAGATAGGGCCAGCAATCAATATCTTAGGTTAAGATATTGATTAGAATACCATTCTATCAGAACATGTCTTATTTCAGGAATAAAGAACCAACTTTCTGGTTCAAAATCTGTCTCAAAAAATTCTACCTAGGTGAGTAGGTTTTTATGTTGTTATTTTCCTCTCTTTTTGAAATCATTAATAACATAAACTACATAGATTTACCTGAGTTATTTCAAGAAATCCTGTTGTTTTCTCCGGAAAGTAAACGTCTTAGACGGGAATGTTAAATTAAAGTAAAGTTAAATGCTGCAAAATGGCAAATTGTCATTATCCTGGCTGTCATTTTCCTGGCTTATGAATGTGAGTTACCAGAAATTTTTTTTAAACCGTATAATGTTAAGAGGAAAAGCAAATATTAATCTAATACCCACTTGCAATATTGTAATATGCTTGTAATTAATGATTGATTGCTATACACAATTTTATTCTGTACATATCAACAACAAAAACATTTTTGATTCTTTCTACAGTGGATAAAAGAATTAATTCAAACAATTCATGGCCCATCTAATGCAAAGGCCAGAGGTTATTTTTTTTTCAAAACACAGATAGTTAAAATATAAAGAATAAGAAAAGAAAATCACTGTACAATTTAATTCTGTCATAGTCCTTAAACTCTACATGGGTGTATACATTAAAGAATGTAATAAAATTCTAAAATAAAATAATTTGAAATATTTTGAATTTAAATAATATAATAAAAAATTTCCGACGTAAATTATTATAAAATTAATTTTACTCGGTTATTTTAAAACATGGGGCAAAAAAAAACGAGTAGCCGAGAAGAAACGGTGTGTTCAAATTGTTCACAATTATTATTTTTGGAATTTATTTACATAAAAAGTTAAAATTAACTTTTCAACTTTGTTTTTTTGAAGTTTCTTAAGTTGAGTTTGTTACTATTGTCTTAAAATGACTGTTTTCTTAACTTCTCAGCTAATATGTGATTTTCCTAGCATTCAAAATTTGGTGAATTTATATTTTTTTTCCTTCTTTTTTCTTGAGCGAATGTCAATAAACTACACTGCTGTCTGTAAGATATTAATAATTGTAACTAAATAGATATGGAAAAAATTTTTTAGCTTATTTTCAAGACTTTAATTTTTAACTGTCATGTTTACGAAGAATCACCCATATATTAGAAGTAAGAGCAATTTCGTATGTGTTCTTTGAAATTCTAACATTCCGACTTTTGTTAATTTTAACTCCTTGAAATGATGTGACATGTAATGCAAGTTGGCCTATCATTTGAATGTACGTCTTTAATATTTTCTTGTATAGTAGTAGATTTTTAAAATTTATAGAAGTACTTTGAATTGATTTAGCTGTATACCTAAGATTAAAATTTTCTAGACCAAAACAAATTATATTTCCACCCCGTAATGCTACAACATCAATGCCTTGCTATAATAATGTTCATCAGTCTCGAAATCGTCAGAATTTTTTATTCTAAGTAACCATTGAACTAAAAAAATTGGTCATATTGTAAAAATTGGTAATACTCTAGTTGATGATACTAATTGATAATACTAGTTTTATTCTTATTTTTTTAAAATTCATGACAAAAATATTTGAAAAGAGGTAAAAATTGTAATATAATCCAATTAAGATACAAATTCTAACAGTATCCATCTCCTACTTTTAACTAACTCATAAAAATGCAGGAAGTTTCTTATATTTCTTTAGTTTAGTATTTAAAATAGAATGTCTAATTTAAGCAGTACGTTCTTGGAAAAACACCTACCAAAGCACACTAGTAATTGTTTGCTTTGGAAATAGTTAGCAAAAACAAAACTGCAGACAAAAAGACTTCTACAAAAAGAAAGCAAAACTTAAATGGTTTTAGGTTCAAGGATTTGTGAATATAATTTAAAGTTTATTAACATTTAAGGGTGTATATTCTAATTGTAAATAGGTCGTTATACATTATTTATATATATAATTATACCAATGTATTCTAAACTTATGCAAATACACAATAAGATACAAATTTCTGAGTGATGTTCGTATGTTTTCTAACTGTAGTTGCGACTAATTTATTAGAAAAAAAACATTACGCAGAATTTATATTTATAAAAAGATAGTTTATTGAAATCGGGGACAGTAAAAACATGCAAAAATTAAATTCGGAAACTTAAGATATCAAGTGATTGTGCAAACTTAAGTACCAATTTGAAATAAAATAAAATACAACATATTTTTTAAAAAATCGACTAATTAAAAAAAAAAGTCTTGGCTTTAAAATTATTGTTTGTTCTATGTTAAGTCAATGAAAAACTTAGTCGTCATTTTTTAATTCGTTTGGGTCAATTTAAGTCTTCAGCATTTTCCAACACTCTTTAAGCTTAATGCAATGAGTTCTGTCACTTTTAGGTTAATAAGAAAATAGTTCATAGCCGAATTTGCTTGATTTATATCAGGCTGTTTCAATGAGCCTATGTATGTAATTTCAGGCTATTTGAAAAACATATTTATTGCTCATTTTGTCATACTTTTGGATTGAAAGCAATGACATAATATAAGGCTCATTGAAATAGGCTTAAACAAATTTGGACTAATTGAGTAAATTTTTTTTAATTAGCCTACAGGTACATGGATTAATGTAACAATTTTGGAAATTACCAGACTGAATCGAAGATACTGGAGACTTTTCCGATAAGCTCGGTGCATTACAAATTGAGATTGAGATGTGCAAAGAGTCAATAATCTTTTAATTAAACTTCGGCGTATACCTAATTTGCTTACGAAAATTGGAATTTTTGAATTAACCTTTGACGTACATGTAATTTGTTTACGAAAATTGGAATTTATGAATTAACCTTTCACGTACATGTAATTTGTTTACGAAAATTGGAATTTAATTTGTTTACGAAAATTAGAATTGGAACCTACGACGTATATGTCATTTGATTATGAAAATTTTAATATATTAATCTACCTTCGATCTTATTGATCACCCTACTCCAGAAAAATCAAGCAATAAGCAACTTGTATGGATTGTTATTTTTAATAACTGCATAAAATTTCGTAAACTTAGAGTAAATATTTATGGAGATATGGGCAGTTTTATAAAAAAACTCATTTTTTTTGTCTTACTTTTTTGCTACATCTTTATAAATACTCAATGAATTTAAACAAAAATTTTGAAGCAATTTAAAATTAATTACAAAATTATTCAATGAAAATTTAAAAAAAAATCGCTTATAACTGCGCAAGATTTAAGTATTT